CTTGCTTTCTATCTCTCTGTCTCTCTCTGTCTTTCTGGTGAGTGCATGCGCCCTACAGCAAAAACCTCTGGTGGGCGGGGGCGGGGGTGGTGGTGGTGAAGAACATCAGGCATTCTTTGTTAGAGACTCTTGGAGAAAGACCTTAGAGGCGTTGTGATGTGTAGTCTACCAGGCACCCAAATTAATGAGCAGGCTGTACAGCCAGTCTGGGGGGTCTTCTGTCAGTGGGCTGAGCCAGTGCTGCCAGCTCATCTCCCCATTTCATCCCATCCCGATTTATTTTCATGACTTCATGAAATGCTTATAAAAGAAGAAAGTCAACTGTAATGGAGGGAAAAAAATCAAGAGAGTGCTTGTTTAGTCAAAATTCAGTTTTCTTTTCTTTTTTTTTTTGTAATGCCAGCAAGAACAGGCCAGAAGTGGGCAAGCACGCACTTGAGTCCCTCTAATGGGGCTGGCTGCACTGCAATCCCCTCCGCTATTCCTCTTTCCTGTCAGAATCCTTGGCACAAGTGCACATGCCTGGTATGTTTTCAAGCCACAGGGGCCAGGATCTGAACCACAATCTTACAGCCAGCCATGCGGGATCTGGCTCCCTCCATCTAGTTATTACTGCTGTGCTATGGGGCTGGTCCAAAACCCAGCTTGGAATAAGGAGTAAACTGCTGAATTCTGTAATGCTGGGATCTGTGAACCAGTAGAACCATGTTCTATCACACAAACAAGACACTCATAAAAATGTTTCAGGAAGTAGTCCAGGCTTAATTTGTTTGAACAGTTTTATACATGTAGTTAATTTTACGTTTATCAAATCATCAAGGTCTGAACTTGATACTTCTTTTTCCATTATGTTTTCTAACATCTTATGGAGGTCATCAGATGGTAGAGTATTATTTGCAAATTTAAAGAATCTCAAAGATTTTTAAATTCGTTCAGAAAGCCGATCTTTTTTTTTTTAAAGAATTATTTTATTTAACTTTTTAAAACTTATTTTACCTATTTATTTTCATTTGACCAGAGAAGGGCAGAGAGACAAAGTAAGCTGCCAGGTTTGGAACTCAACTGCGGTCAGTCATGTGGGAGTCCAGGACCCTTAACCACCATGCCACCTCCCAGTCCCAGCCGATGATCATTTTAAACAGACTTATCATCCTCAGTAGCACAGGAAAGAAAACAACAGAAGAAAGACAACAACTTAGATCATAAAGTAGTTGTGTTTATAATCTCCTACACTAACCAAAAGGCATTATTTTCCTTTGGACTTCCTTTATTTTTTTTAAAAAAATTTTGCTCTCACCAGAGAGCTTGAGCGAGACAGAAGGTAAGAAAGCACCCTCCAAGGGGGATGATCACACTGTAGTCTCGTCTCCATTTCTTCCTCTTTTTAGGACTTTGGGCACACACAAACATGTGCCTGATGTATTTTTCAAGATGCAGAGTCCGGGACTCAAAGTGTACATTTGGCCATGTGGGATCCAACTGCCTTAACCACCATGCTACCAGCTGGCCTCAGACTTCTTTAGTTTTTGTATACTTAGGAGATATGCTAAAACAAGTACGCATTACAGTATTTACAGATATTTTTATAAGAAACATCAACACAATACAAAGAATATATTTCTATCCAAATATAAATGTATGTCACAGTATGTGACAGTCTAAACTGTTCTATTAAATCTTCCAATGAGGTGAAAACTATGTCTGAGAAACACAGCAGGGGCCCAGCTGCAATAGAAGGTGCTGGTAGACACTGCTACTCGGCAGCCTGAGGCCATGTGAGAGGATCGAGTTCAATTTCCAGCCCACCCTAAGAGCTAGTCAAAGCTTTATACACCTGTTCTCCCAGCTACCTGGGACGCTGACACAGATGGATTGTGACACACAGTAAGACCCTGCCTGAAAAAAAGAAAACAAAATAAAGCAAAAACCAAAGTAGGAAAGAATTCTTTAACATTTAACATTTGACCAGTTTAACAGTTCTAAGATGCCTGGGTTGTTTTTTTTTTTTTTTGCATTTTTAGGTTTCTGGCAAATTCAGTGAGTCATTAAATTCAACTTATGGTATAATATGTTCTATGTTCTTTTTGATGTAGAATGTGCTAAAATGGTACCAAGCAACTTCAATATCATTACAAGCTATACCTTCAACAAATTATAGAAGTGGGTTTTTTGCTATTAGGCATGTGTGCTTGCCAGAGACAGAAAGTGAGAAATCGCACCCAGGACACACCAAAGTCTCCTTTTTGGGATTGTGGGCATGAACACACATGTGTCTGGTGTGATTTTCAAGCTGCCAGGTTGAAACCGAGCTGTGACCCTCTAAAAGGAGTGAACCTTCAGTTTCTTTTCTATTATTATTTTTTGTAGAAGAAAGTGTAAGTTCCCCAAATGAAAACTGATTAGAACTAAAAGTATCTATCCAGATTGACTGACAAGAGGTCCATTTAAATGTAGATGTTACATTCAAGTCTCTTGACCCTGACTACACCCACTCCCTCCCTGAGATAATTATTTGAATGTATACCCTAGCTTACAGTAAACCACACCTTCCTGTAGTAATAGATGACATTTATCTAAAAACTATCTGTCACTTTAATGTACTAAAAAGAAGCTTGTAACTTTCCTCTTTGTCAAAGAAATCAGTTTCCTAACTGTAGGAATTAAGATGTAGAAGTTTTGTGTAACACATATCTTGTAGGACAATGATCATTGACCACATCACCTCCAGGCTGAAATGCACCAAAGACCTGATGACCACCCCCTCCCAGAACAGAACATTGATCATCTAAGGCCTCACTGATCAAGAATGCGGAAGAGATGATCACACCCTCTTAAACCAATCACTGAACTAATCGTGCACCTGGAACCTCTACCCCTAATTTTGCCCTTAAAAACGCATGTGAGGAACATCTTGGGGAGACCGGGTCTTTTCAGCATGAGCTGCCTGCTCTCCTTGCTTTGCGCTTTGCAATAAAGCTGTACTTTCCTTCGTCACACCGTGTGCCTATGGTTTAGTTTTATAGCACTTGGGCGAGCGAACCTGATTTGAGTTCGGTAACAAGGTCTGAGTCTTGAACCACAGAGTCAACCTGTGGGATCCAGTGCCTTAACCACTGCCACTGGCTTACCGCTGTCCCCCCATTCTATTTTTTAGGTTTCTGCCTTAGGGTGCATGCATTCATGGGAGAGACAAAGAGAAACGGAAAGTGAGAAATCACTCCCCCAGTGGGATGGTCATGCCACAATCCCTTTTCCTCCTGGGATTCTGGACTCACACGTACATGTGCCTGGTGTGATTTTCAAGCCGCCAGATCTAGGACTCGAACTGCAGTCAGCCATGTGGGAGTCTAGCACCTTAACTATCACGTCACCTGGTGGCCTCTGGCTCCATTTCTTTTAAGTTTTGAATTTAATTTTTTTAAAAGACATATCTGTTCCACCTTAATTATTATTATTATTTTAAATTTGACCTGAGAGAGACAAAGAGGATCGGGGAAAGAGAGAAAGCAAGCCTCAAAGTGTGGGACTTGAAGTGTGGTCTGCCATGTGGGAGTCCAGCGCCCCAACCACCATGCCACCTGCCCCCGCCCCTTGAATTTAATTTTGTTCATGAGAGCATGTGCACACATACGAAAGAGATGAGGGGAATGCATCCTCAACGGGTCTGGTCACACTGTATCTGTCTCTAGCCCTCCAGCACATCAGGATCTTGGGCTTGCACTCAAATGCCTGTCAAATTAATGCTAAAATGGGGATCCAAACTGGTGGTGGGCCATGTGGCTTCTAACACAGCAGTTCAGTTTGCTACTGACTGCACCACCAGGCTAGGCCCGTTGTTTCATTTTAATTCAGAGGCTAGTGAATACTGGACTGCTGACTTCTAGTACACTTCACCAAGGGTAAAGAGAACTCTCATCACTTAGGTGTTGGGAAAGCCTATAGAAAGTAGAAACCAACTTCCTCATCTTTCTGATGGTTCTTATTCTCAAAAAAACCCTGTGTTAGAAATTAAATGCGCTTCTAGTTACAAGTGTTATTTTAGTAGTGTATGAGTGGTGCAACAGCAACATGTCACAACTCAAAGTGTAACTTTCCCACTGAGTACATTACTTCAATTTCCTGTAGTTGTTCCTGATTGGTTGTGTACATCTGCTGAAGAGAATCCTCTAACTCTGTGTTCCGATCCAGTAATGTCTTCCCAAGCTCAGCAGCAAGTTGGAGATCTGGCACAACAAAGAATCTTAGATTAATACAAGTGATCTCACTTTAACATTTTATATAACCCAGTTTAAAATACATGTATTTATTTTATTCATTATTATTTATTTTTATTTTTAAAATGTGACCAGAGTGAGACTGAGAGAGAAAGAGAGAGAAAAAGTGAGAAAGCAAGTTACCAGGTCCAAGTTACCATGGTCGGCCATGTGGGAGTCCAGTACCCTAACCATAACACCACCTGCTGGCCCGGCCCCTATCACCCAGTTCTTAAAACAACAATAAACAAATCCTGGGACCAGCAGTTAGCGTAATGGCTATGTCTCTGGACTCCCATGTAGTCGACCGCAGTTCGCATCCCGGACCCGGTGGCTTAAAACTCACGCTGGGCACACGTGCGTGTGTGCCCAAGATCCTGAGAGGAGAACAGAGGAGAAGGGATTGTGGCGTGGCCATTTCCCCTGGGGGGTGATTTCTCGCCTTCTGTTTCTCTGTCTCTCTCTGTTTGGCGAGTGCACGCACCCTATGGCAAAAAAACCCTCTCTCCCCCCCAAAAAAGAAAGAAAAACAAAAACAACAAACAAATCCTGACACATAGTTTAAATCAGATCCCAATAACAGGTAGAATGCACAGAAAGAAACTTGAATTTTACTTAAAATTCAGTTGAACTAGGGCCTCTGGTAGGTAAAATATTCTCTTATGTATCCTAACCCATAAGATATAAAAAAATCATAATCTATTTATGAAGACATAGACATTAGTTCAGGAGTGATCATTCAGCATTGTGATTCCTAAAATCAAAATTATTTGCTTATGGAATTGAATGTCTTGACAGTTTACTTCTGTTTAAAGACCCTTGAACCAAAGTACAGGCAGATTTTTAAATTAGTATTTATTTAATTTTATTTATTCATCCATTTATTTTGGCGAGTGCACGCACCCTATGGCAAAAAAACCCTCTCTCCCCCCCAAAAAAGAAAGAAAAACAAAAACAACAAACAAATCCTGACACATAGTTTAAATCAGATCCCAATAACAGGTAGAATGCACAGAAAGAAACTTGAATTTTACTTAAAATTCAGTTGAACTAGGGCCTCTGGTAGGTAAAATATTCTCTTATGTATCCTAACCCATAAGATATAAAAAAATCATAATCTATTTATGAAGACATAGACATTAGTTCAGGAGTGATCATTCAGCATTGTGATTCCTAAAATCAAAATTATTTGCTTATGGAATTGAATGTCTTGACAGTTTACTTCTGTTTAAAGACCCTTGAACCAAAGTACAGGCAGATTTTTAAATTAGTATTTATTTAATTTTATTTATTCATCCATTTATTTTAATTTGACCAGAGAGAGAGAGAGAGAAAGCAAGCCACCAGGTCTGGGACTCGAACTGTGGTCAGCCATGTGGGAGTGTCTGGTGCCTTAACCATCATGCCACCTGCTGGTCCCCAGTATGGGCAGATTTTTCATTACTCTCTGAAGTTCCCTAGAATCTAGCTGCTGTGAATACAACTGTCAGTGCATGTTGTCATATATCCTGAGCTCCAAGGGGACGTCAAGAAAAAGAAAGATATATTAGTACTAAGAACACTGCTCCAGGTCTTTCTATTTTTTTTTTCTACTTGTCTTTATGTCCTACTCCAAGATGAGCAAACTAGACAAGCCAAGTAGCAATTATGGTTTTTGAGGTAATTATATGTTAGTAGCTCACATTTCCACTTAGCACAGAACTTTTATTTTAAATATCATTTTTAACTCTCTTCTTAGGCATATATGCACATAAGATAAGATTTATCTTTATTAGATACAATCCCAGAAGTGAAAATTTAATAACAATACTGTACTGGTTAATTTTGGAGTGTCACCTGGACTGGACTACGGGATTTGCTTGTTCCGGGGTTTGTAAGTGAGAATGTTGGACAACTTTGGTGTGTGAGTCAGTGGACAGAGAGGAAGGCCTATGTTCACTGTTGGCAGGTACCATCCAGTCAGCTGGAGGCATGAGAGGGACAAACAGGAAGTGGGAGATTCTGCCTCCTCTCTGCACCCTTCTTTCAGAGTGTGCTGTGTCTTCCACCACTGCTGCCTGCACCTCTACCTGCTCCATTCCTGACCCGCAAGTTGGTCCTTGGCCGCATTCAGTTCCTGCTGGCACTTGGTCCCTGTGGCCCTCCAACCAGGCTCCCAGTTTTTCAACTTCTTTATTCTATAAAGGTGCTCAGACCTTTGGCCTTGGACTTGGAGCTGTACCAGCTTCTTAGCTTCTCAGTCTTCCTGCCGTTTCTCTAGCTTGCAGACAGCCTATTGTGGGACTTCTCTGCCTTATAATCAAGTGAGATAATTCCCATAATACATTTTAAATACACACACACACACATCTCATTGGTTCTATTTCTCTGATAACCTTGACCAATACAAAATACAAAAAAGGACACTATTTGTAACAGAGGTGACTGAAATATTTATGTAAATACTTATGTACCTACTTTTACAGAACAGCCCTTTTTTAAAAAAAGAAAATTCAATTTAATTGTATACATCATTATTATTTTTTGTAAGGATTATTTAACCTTATTTATTATTATTTTAATGTTTCCAAAGAAAGACACAGAGAGAGAGAGAGAGAGAGAGAGAGAGAGCAAGTGAGAAGAAAAGTAAGAAAGCAAACCTCCATATCCGGGACTTGAACCACAGTCAGCCATGTGGGAATCTAGCGCCCTTAACCACCATGCCACCTGCTGGCCTCATCATTATTATTTTTTAAATTTGACCAGGAATGGGGGTAGTAGTGAGAAAGCAAGCTGCCAGGTCTGGGACCCAAACCATGGTCAGCCATGAGGGAAGTCCAGCACCTTAACCACTATACCACCCACCAGTCCCATGGAGCAGTCCTTTGAAATAGTGGGAAATGCACTGAATTCTGAATAGGAATCTCTGAGGTCCAGTTCTGAGCCCATTTACCAGAGTACTTTTAAAATGATGACTTTAAAAGTCCCTGAATACTAAAGTATTCTTGTTTGGAGAAATGAAATGTTCTGTCACTATAAGACTGTGAAAATCAAATAGAATAATACACAGGAAGCACTTTACAAACTAAGCTGCAATACCCAGGCAAAGTTTTACTAGTATTCATTGATCACAAATGAAAATGTCTGTTGCCAAGCACTATGCTAAGCTTTGATAATAGAACAGTGAATAAATGAAGTTCCTGCTTTGCTGACATTCCAAGATTAACAGGGGAAGCCAGACAGGAAATATGTAACTAAGCTTATAAAATGTGATACATACCACTCACACATGTATGCATGTACTCAACAATACCAGGTACTATTCTAGGCACTGAGGACGAGAAGGACTTCAGATTTAAAATCTCCCTGCTCCCATGGAGCTTATATTCTGTTGGGAAAACCATCCACACTCTTCCTATACCCATTCCTTGTTTTATTTTTTTCTCTTTAGCTAAAGAAACAAGGAAAGCGTATAGGAAGAGTGTGGATTTTCCCCAAGAGAACTATATTCATAATATTATAGCTATTATATATTTATGATAGACAGCAGTAAGTGCTAAAGAGAAAAAAATATAACAAGGAAAGGTTATAGGAAGAGTGTGGAAGTGGAAGGTTGAAATTTATGTACATGTGACAAGGAGATGTTAGAATTGAGATGCCAAGGAACCAAGCAAGGACCCATGTAGATCTTCCAAGGGGAAGAGCATTCCAGGCAGAGGCAAAAACAAGTGCAAAGACTCTGAGAGGAAGCATGGCCAGAGCAATTACGAAGGTTCTGTGCAGTAGAATGTGCTGCGCTCACGTGGGCGAAGCGGAGGCTTATGAGGAGTCCAGGGGTCAAATCAGACAGGCTTCACGGTTGGCCAACTGGGGTACAGGCTAAATAAGGAGGTCAAGATTTTGGCTTGTACCCTGACTAAGATGGAACCCAGTGGAGGCTAGACAGGATTACTCTGGCCACTGCGTAAATATTGATAGATGGAAAGGGACACAGGCGCTAGCAGAGTAGTGAGAAAGATACTACAGTCATCTGGGTGAGAGATGAAGGTGGTTTGGACGAGCCTGGCAGAGATGGTACATGGGAGGGGCAGGATTCTGGTATGTTTTGAAAATAAAGCCAAAAGGACTTGTTGATATATACAGTGTAAAAGAGAAGGGGGATGGCAGGTGGCATGGTGGTTAAAGGTACTGGATTCCCACGTGGCTGACCTGGGTTCGAGACTCAGACCTGGTGGCTTGCTTTTTCTTTTTTCCTTTTTCTCTCTCTCTCTGTCTCTCTCTAGTAAAATTAAAAAACGAATAACAAATGGAATTAAATAAATAAATCTTCAAAATGAAAAAAAGAGAACAAAGGGAAAAACTTGGATTTGGTGATAATGACAAAAGGGTCTCTCTGAGGAGACATTTTATCTAAACCTTGAAGGGTGAGGAAGTCAGCATGTAAGAATCAGGGGAGTTGGATATTCTGGAGCCTGACGAGTAGCCAGTATGAAAGAGGCATGAATAGAGAGCAGCCTGGGATAAAGTGGGAAAGGCAGGCAGGGGTCCGGCCATACAGGATTTTATAGGCCATGGCTGAGAAATTCTTAATTTTATTCTAGGTCCAATGGAAAGTCATTTCAGCTAATGGCATTAAAGTATTCTGGAAAAGTATCATGACAACAGCGAACCTCAGTAGATATGATTTTAAAACATAATTTTTAGAGGTTGACAAATAAGATTTGACATTTTATCCATTACTACTGACAGTAAACTTAACTTGGTAACATAAAAACACCACCTTTTATTACCTGGTATTGCACATTCAAGTGTATAATTATTATTTTATTTGGTTTGTTTCCACTCATTAGGAAAAAAATAAAGAGGTAAAACCTATTACACAGCAGAACAGTTCATTTTACAGCCATTTTAAATTAAGCAGTACATAGTAGATTGGTGCTAAAATACACTCTCTTCTGACATCTTTATTAACAATGACTAGTACTGGGACC